GGTGAGAGTAACAAACTATTTGGTTACAATCAACTATCACCTCGTTTGTCTGTAACTAACCTTAGATTAAGATGGTCTTTTTAATTTGTACCACTGGGAGTACAGATTCCTCTCGAAATAGACATAGATAGAAATTCAAATCTATGTACAATCCAAAGATTATGAGGTATATACAGGAGCCGTGGACTTAAAATTGAGCAGTAATGGCTCAATTCGTCCCCTTCTAAGGTTTGTGCACCTTGTTTTTTTTATTTCAGTCACAGTAGTGTGCAACTCCGTGTAAGTGTCAGCGTCAGCTTTTCTTCTGTAGTTCCGTTTACTTCGGCAGGCCTAACACATGCTGCTGGTTAAAATTATTCTGACTTTAGATTATGTTACTTTTTAGGGCGAGAAGGACGAGAAGGGCGAGAAGGGCGAGAAGGGTGAGAAGGGCGATTCGGGAACAAATTGTACCCACAACTTACAGGTAAACATGGGTAAAGAGCTATTGGTTCTCCGCTTCTGACTTTGATTGAATTTCAAGACACTGGCTCTGAAATTTTTGGAAAAAAAATTAAATTTAATCGAGAGCTAGTATAGCATTTCAATATCTTTCTCCACTTTTATACTAAAACAGGATCCAAACAAACCTTCTGCTCACATTGAAGCTGCCCAGAAGAGTGCCGGCGTGCCTTATGGTGCCAACACAGGTATTTTTATTATTCTTGTTACTTTCTTGACGTAATGTGACTAGTTTGACATGTATCTAAAAGTCTTGTTGTAGTTTTAGTCTCTTTCGGAATTAACGTTTTTAACAACTAATTGCTTAAACAGACTCTCGTTAAGAAATCAAAATATAGCAAGGTAAACAATTACTAGTGTCTGCGAACGCGTTGTCTTTAATTTTCTTCTAGTGATAAAGGACTGGTCTGTCAGTGCTCCAAGCAGCGACCTGGCAGGCGGCATGAAGTACCACGACGGAAACCTGACTGTGCCCACCCCTGGACGGTACTACATCTACACACAACTTTACTATCACTCCACTGGGAGAGTCCACGTTCGTGTAAACAACAAATGCTTTACCATGATACAACCACTGAGTGGAGGAACCGGCGAAGGTGCTCTGTACGCTGGAGGAGTGTTTAACCTCAAGGCTGGTGACGTCATCTCGCTGGTAGCAACAAACTCCATCAGACTTTATATGTCCTCAAAGTGTCACAGTTATTTTGGTGCATTTTTGATTTGAGTTTCATTCGTTGCATTCTTAGTGTCGTGACCGAAACTCCTCTCTATCTCCATTGACTAATGGCAAGGATTTTAAAGCTTGGCTTGCTATTTTTGTGACGACATTTATTGTTGTTCTGGTTTCACGTAATATTTCAGACTGCTTTGTGATTGTAATTTCTCTTACGACGATTACAATAAATTAGTGAGGCAATCTCAGATAGTGCAGCGTGTATAATGTATTGATCTGAAGCAGTACTCATAACACAGTTCCTATATAGCCTCCTGGTTCGTATTGACCTTACTAGTGAGCTAGGGATTTTGATGAGACATGATCTTCGTAGTGTGTATGTTTCGTGTGTGTATTTTCATTCATAGTCAGAGGCCGGATATCTTACGATTAATTACCCTTTGTCAAGACAGCTCTTGAATGTCACTGTCAGTAGTGTTTTACTTTGATTTTCGCTCATTTTGGAGCGAACGTGACAAGTTTACTTTTCACGCCAACACTTGTAACTTGATACGTTTGTTTTCCTCGCAAAGGGATTTAACATCTAACATGAAACTCTTGTTTTCTCGAAAACACACGGAAGACTGATATGCTGCTGGTATTTTTTTTCACAGCTGGAGATAAATGGAAGAAGTGGAATGTCGGATGAAGAAATCGAAGAGGAACGATTTGTTTTATTTAACACGCGACTTCTCTTTTCAAAGATAAACAAGAACTAATCTAATTTTCAAATTGTCACGGACGTTCTGTTGCCACCTTTGGCGATAACAATAAAACCAATTTACTCATCGAGTTCGGCAGTAAAAGAACCAGGCGAAACACTATGAAAATTAAATTCATCCGGTACCTTTGTTTTATCGTTGTTGACTTCATTCACAGTTGTCGTCATCATCATCATCATCATCGTCGTCGTCGTCGTCATCATCATCATCATCATCATCGTCATCATCGTCTAAGAATGAGTAACTTTAAATCCCATTTACACGCGCTAAAAATCCGGTACGGCACGCGAAAAAATTTTTGGCACCGTGCCTAACCATTTCGGCACGGCAGTACCCATTTACACGACCCAAAGTGAAAGGTTTATCTCCAGCTGGACACGGTTCCAATTTTCAATCGGCACCCCTTCTCTCCATCTGTTTTATTCCCGGAAAATGGCGGATAAACAGCTTGCCGTCATCTTGCATCGCATCTTAAGAGTAAAATGTGACTTAAATCAAAACAGGAAGAGCCATCTTCGGTTCAACAAGGAAATTGATCGACATCTTGGCGAAATAAGAAAAAAAACAGACGGAGGAAGAAATGGTTGTTTGCAACGATGGCTCACGTGGCTTGTCAGAACTTCCGTGAAAGAAGCCTATTAATGAGACCGAGTAATCAGGCCTG